AAGGGGGGGGGTTACCTTGGTTGCTGATTGGCTAATGGTTACACAAGACAACACATCGTTGTGACATCATAAAGTGGCCAAAATCTGATCAGCTCATTTTCAGACAGGTTTTTATAGAAATGGATCAGGACAAAAAGAGAGAGAATCTTTGTTCCTGAAACTTTCAGAATCTCTTTACATAGAGGGGACACATGTTGATGTAGAAGAGAATAATAGGTAACCTTTAACATATACAGAATCAAGATTGAACCACGTGTGTCAGCTGGTGCTCTGACCTTGGCCTGGTACTCCTCCGCCCTCCTCAGGTCTCTCAGGAAGCCACAGATCACGATGCCTTTTCCCTGCCGGACCGACGCTGACACGGCATCACACAGCAGCTCCAGCAGAGTGTCCTGATACCAACACACACAAACATGCAAACATCAAATTACAACCGAGAACCTTCTGCAAATCTTCCAATTGAGAGGCTGAAGCCAGCATATCTTTGTGCCTCATAAATAACTAAACGTATAATTGGCGTTCAAATTGTTATGAATTGCCACACCCATGAATCCTTTCTGCAACACTCCTGTCACTCACTCAGGTGTGCAGTGACTTATTTTTCTAAAATATGTTCAACAATATAGTGTCAAACTTGAACTATTTGCATTAGTTCTCCATTCAAACGTAGCACAACAGGCAACTTCCTACTACACATGTGTGGCACTCCCCTCAGTGGAAGACAAATCAAGCGCACCCTCTGTAATGAGCCGGCCTATTTAAACAGTGAAGCTCCACCTGTTCTTTGGCTTTGCTGCTAGTTTTCACTTACACACACTTCCTGCTATGTTTGAATCCTTTTATAATCAAGCTAAATCGCTAATAAAAGCATCAAGGTGCTTGAAAAGGAGTTTGTGAATGAAATAGTGTTTGTGTTGCACCTTGTTGTTTGAGAAATGTGTGCTACTGTACCTCAAACTGGACACTATGATAGCTTGAAGCTACATCAACACATCAAGCTAAAGGCTTTCCTCTGCTGTACAAGCTCTGGTGAGTTTCTTCTGTGTCTTTGTTTGTTATTTGCTGTGTCATTGTTTGTGTGGATTATTGCTCTCTAAAGCTTGCTGGTGGTTTTCTTAGCGTCTGCTAATTACTGTATGCTAATGTTGCTCCTGGGTTGCTGCAGTTGCTGAATATCCTTTTCTTCCTGGTTGTTTGTTGATTAAGATGCTTTCATGCTTGCTTATTGCTTTGTCAAATAACCTAAACGGTTGCTTTTGGTTTTTTCCTTTTGATTCAGACTCTGTCTCTAGTACAGGGTTACGTTGACATATAAATATTGGGGTTTACAAATTGTTATTATTTCCCTAGGCTTTATGTGAAGTGCAATGGTTTTGATAAACAGGATATGATGACATTCAGCCAGACTTTAGAGGAGTAATTATACTCACAACAAATGGGTTTATGTAACAGCACTAAATACTGTGATATTCTTCATTTCATAATCAACAGCTGAGCTCCTGCTCCTCTGTTAATGCTGCACTAATGGACGTTTATCTGCTGCTTATCAGCGCTGTATAACTTCCCAGAAAAAAGCGTTTTAGATTGATATCCTCAAGTTGATAATTTAGTGCATATCTGTCATGAATATTTCTTCTGTTGTTTTTATGCTTTCTTCATGCTGGATGACTTATTTCCAAGAAACATATTAACACATCTCTGGTTAACACCATTTTCAAGTGATGTTTTTTTTAATTATTTTGTGTTGAGAAACTTTCTTTGTGGACAAAATCATACGTGTGTTAGTGAACTAAGGATTTCTTTAGTGAAGACAGCCCTGGTGTGAGGCTGCGTATCACTGCTGGGATTGGGATTTACTTTCATTACACATTCACAAGACAGTATTCTCAGTTTCCATTTCATCAGCTCCACTCATCTAAATCCAAAGCACCCTCCAAGTGTTTGTGATCATTTGGCCACCATTTTAATATCAAACAGGTTAGACTTGTTACTAAAAAAACACTTCTCGATAATGACAAACAAACAAAATTACCGTACACTTGAATCAACAGCTCCTCAAAAACAGTTTAATAAAAGAAACTCCACACTATGAACTTCTTGTATAACGTTGTATAGACTGTATTAGT